TATTGTGCCCACTTCCCCCCTCCCCCCCACTGCTTCAGGGTCTGGCCAGGATGCACCCCCATCTGTCCACATTTGCTCCATGGTCACCACCTACAGGGCTGGGGGGCGTGGCCAGCAGTGCTGGCCTTGCCCCCTTCCCCTGTCTGCTCCATTTTCACAGCCTGGAGGCAGCAGAGGAGACAGGACCAGTTTCTCCCCCTCTATCTGCTCTGTCGCCACTGCCTGCTGGGGCAGGGCTGGACAGGGACAGAGGCCCAGAGCCAGGCTCACTCTTTCCACCCTCACCCTCCCTGCTTCAGGGCCGGGCCAGAGCCACTACCCCCATGACCCCCAGGGGGCTGGCAGAGACACAGCTCAGCTTCCAACCCTGTGCCCCCACTCCCCTCATCCAGACCCACCCCCACAATTCAGGCCCAATCTCATTCCCCTCTGGCAGTTCAGGTTCGGACCTGGGGCCGCTCCCCCCGCCACGGTGGCCCTGACCCCGTTCCGTCTCCTTGCACTGCTGCCACCTCCTCCACAGAGCTGGGGGTAGGGGGACAGGCCAGCTCCCCTCCCGTCCCCAGCGTCATGGCAGCACTCTGCTGCCTGTTGTCCCTAATGCTTTATTCACATACTGATTGGCTGCCAAGACAGCCAATCAGGGTGTAAATAAAGCATTACAGACAGACAGAGTAAGGCTTTTATATAGATATATATGGCGTTTCATTTTAATCATGGAAAAAATGGGTTTTTAATGAGAGAATTTTCTATTTTTTATCAGAGAATTTTGGATTCTTTAACAAAGAAAACCAGGGTCCCTAATTATAACACAGTATAATGTTCAATCAATTAGTAAATTAATGCCTTAAATCTGAATAAACTGAGGGCATACTGACATTTTCTCCACAAATGTAGAGACTCAGTGGGAAGGCAAGTCTTTTTGCATTTCTCAGGGAGAGGACGAGTGGAGAGGAAACTAAAATTCGTCATCACATTTGACATTTCCCTATTCTGAGTGTTAATAGTGTAGTTGTTATCTCAATAAATGATATAGTTATTGCAGTTAACTTGAAAGTACAGGTATTAAAAGTAAGGCAGTTGTGTTTCAATTTTAGCTAAAACAAATCTAATTTACTTGTCTTGTAGACTGAAAAACAAATTAAATATTTATACAACTGCAAAATATGCCCTGTGTTATCAACATGCTAGGTCATTTGGCTTAGACATTTAACAAACTTCTCTTTTATAATGATCCAAGTACATGTTGTTCTGGAAAATTTTCAACAGCAGCATTTTTATCTAGAGCCAGAATTCACTATTTTTCCTTTTCCATTGTCTTCTGCACTTTATCTTCTTAACTGAGGAAATGTATGTTAGCAGTGGCACATTCAACTTGACTTTATTTACTTTTTTCAGTTGCACTTATGTATTATGCACCCAAGGGTGATGAGGGAGTTGTTTGATGTGATTGCATAGCCGCAGGTTATCAGCTCTGAAAACTCATGATCAGGAGAAGTCCCAAATGATTGGAAAAGAGCAAATATAGTGCCTATTTTTAAGAAAGGGGAAAAGGAGAATCCAGGGAACTACAGACCAGTCAGCCTCATCTCAGTCCCTGGAAAAATCATGAAGCAGATGCTCAAGGAATCCA